GAGATGGGGGAGGGAGGGAGGGAGGGAGGGAGAGAGAGAGAGAGAGAGAGAGAGAGAGAGAGAGAGAGAGAGAGAGAAACATTGATTTGACATCAATGGCCTGCCTCCCATACGTACCCTGACAGGGGAACAAGCCTGCAACCTGGGCATATGCCCTGATCGAGATTTGAACTGACAGCCTTTCGAGCACAGGCTGATGTTCAAACAACTGAGCCACACTGGCCAGGATGGAAAACCCCAGGTGTTATTAAAATATATTTTGAGACGTGTCATTCTCTCCCTAGACTCAATAGGAGTCTAGACTGAGACCAGGGTCCCTGTGTCCTCCTGAGCCTGTTGCCCTTCCAGTGCCTCCCTTAGAGGCTCCCCGAGACTGGCTAGTCCTGGCACAGCCAGAGCTGCCATTGTCCATCCGCACACTCCCCGCCTTGATCAGGGGCTGAACCCTGAGCCCCCAGGGCCAGCAAGGCCCTCAGCTGTGGAGCCCCGATCTGAAGTGCTGCATGTGCCCTCACCATCGAGGGCCTGGGCTGCCGGCCCCAGAGAACTGCCTGTCTCTAATTCGTTGCATAATCTCCCTGGGCCTCAGTCTCCCTGTCTGTAGAGTAGGGTTTGGGGCCGTGGACCATGTCCAAAACACTGGATCCCGTCACTCCCCCTCTCACCCTGAGCGCGGCCAAGGTCCTGTGGACTCTGGGTCAGCCTGTCCCCAGGTGTCCCAGACCCAAGCCACCCTACCCCCTCCTCCCAGACCCCCAGGTTGTCCATAATGGATCAGCAGCGCTCTCCCCACGTCCCATCAGAACACACTCTTCTGCTGATCTGAGGTGGTCAGAACAGAGCTGGCCATCAGCCCAGCTTCTGGACACAATCCCGCCTGGGGCCTGCATTTCTGGGATCAGCCCCACGTCATAAGCAGAAAAGTGTCCAATTGGGAAGTAAATGTACAGACGTGGTTGTCATGATGACGACACATAAAAGACCATCCTTAGGATTTCCCCTGGGCACTTAGCTATTTGCACGTTCCCCGTCACTGCTCCTTGGAAGGATAAGGAATGAGGATCATGGGTAAAATTGCACAGGAGCCCTAGATGAGGATGGGGGACCTGGGTCTAGTACGCACCCTCTGCAGGAGCCTCAGGGTTTGCAGGGGGCTCCTCTCCTTGGTCCTGTCACCAGCTCAGAGAAGAAGATGCTGACATTCCTGGTGTGTTGGGGAGCTTGTGAGGGAAGTGACTGGTCAGTGGGTCAGCCTGTGAGTCCAGGATGTGGTCCCAGCCCCGTGGCCAACCCTGCAAGACCTAAAACCGCTCACTCACCTCTGGGCCTGAGCGTTCTCATCTGCCATTTGAGTGACTGGATAGGATGAATTCTAAGGTCCCGTGTGTCCCTACTGCTTTTGATTCTGTAATTCCAGCATCATTGCCTGGTGGGCAATTCATTCACTCTGGTACTTTCCACGTTTCAGTCTGGCTTTGGTGGTCGGAGTCTGGTCTTTGCACGCACTCGGTTTCCTCCTGTCATAGACGTCCTGATGGTTAGTTTGGTCCCAGAAGTTGCTATGCTCTTTCAGAAGTTGCTAACGCTGCCCCTCCTCCCCACACCCCAGGGCTACCACCCGATGCCCCATGAAGTGGAGATTGCGCACACGAAGAAGCTGTTCCGGAGGAGAAGGAATGACCGAAGGTAGGAGAGCTGCGTCTCCAGCTTGTGCTTTTATTTTCCCGTCGCCCACCCGTAGCTCCGTCACTCCTGGCCCGTGCTTCGACACCTGTGAGCTCTCACGTGGGCTGGTAACCCGTCGGGCAGTGGCAGCTGTGCTCCCCCCGGTTGACCCCGGAAAGGACGCTTCTCAAGTACAGGAGGCATCCGGGTGGTTCAGGAGGAGAAATGCTCTTCCCACTGACCTCACAGCAGCAGCCGCAGCCCAGGGGCCAGGAAGTAGCCGGTGGTGCTTTGAGACATGGCCTCCAGGAGGCTCCGGAGATCACAATGCCAAGGGTGTCTGTCCTTCCTCCGCCCCACGCTCAGCTCTGCTGTGAGGGCGGCCACAGCTCAGCCCCTGTGCCTGCTGCTGCTCTCAGCTGCCTGCAGAGTACTGAACTGCAGCAGGAACCAGGACCTCCCTGGTGTCCAGAGCCCCAGAGTCCGGGTGATACAGGGGCCAGAGCAGCGCCCCGAGGCAGCCCCGAGTGGGAACAAGCAGCTGAGGCTGGCCCGGCATCCGGGAGGGCTGCCTTTGTTTCCGTCGAGGCATCTGACAGGGAACGGTCTTGCAGGTTTGTTTCCAATGGAAAACCCCAGGTGCAGAACAGTCTTTGCAGTGTGTGGCCATTTGTGCAAAAGAGGTGTTGGGTTGGTTTTTTTAAATTATTATTTAATTTTTGCTTGAACATGCATATAAGTGACTTCTGAATGGAAATATTAGGAAGGGAGGGAGGGGGGAGGAAGGAAGGAGGCCGGCCTGCGGAATTAAAGCGAGGTGTTCCTCTAGAGGGAATTTCTTCGTAGATAAAGGCGAGGCTTGTGGTTTTACCTTGAATGAACAGAGAATGTTCACACTCAGGGAGCAAAAGCCAAGAAGCAGCCCAGCCGACATCCTTGCCCAGAGAACTAGAAGTGCCTGTTCTCGCGCAGCTCCTGAGATCAGCGCTGGGCGGACCAAGGTCCCGGGTCCTCCCTCCACACTCGGCCCTGAACAAGGAGGGGAGGAGGGAGGTGAAGGACTGAGCACCCAAACGCCTCGTCATCGGGTCTGAGCTGGGAGAAGGGCAGCCCTGGCGTAGAGATGAGAAGCCCTGGGCACTTTGACGCAGTGGCCTGAGGAGGGGGGGCTGGGCCAGGACAGTTGGATTAAGCCCTGCCCCTGGTTATTGTGCTGTGTGCTCCCTCCTTGCTGTGCAGCATCACAGAGGCTAGTGCCTGGTTTCTGGGTTCCTGGCAGGCGGACGGTGTGGGGAGCACCCCCCTAAAGGGGCACTGGGGCTCAGAGGGGACTGGTGGTGCTGGGGAATGCAGAGGCTTGGCATTCCTCCTCCCCTGCCTCGTGGTCCCCAGAGAGCCTGTCTGGAAGTGGGGGCGGCCCCAGGCTTCCGAGTGAGAGCCACCCTCTGACCTGCTTCCCTGGCTCAGCGTCCAGGTCCCCACCTCCACTCGGGCCAGGTCGCCCCGCTCAGCAGGAGTCCCCTGGCCCGCGCAGACCTCCGGAAGGCAGCGGCGTGACCCAGGAATGTAGGAAGAGGAGCGTGACATGAGGCACTGGAAGCTGCCCTTCCGCTGGGCCGCTCTGTGTGAACAAACGCCCGGGTTAGGTCAGCACACCTCGCAAAGGATGTGGACCCGGGACGGAGTCCAAAGCCAGGCAATAAAGATGATTAAAGGGATGGAAAGTGCGTCCTGCGAGAAAGAGGCTAATGGACGGGGCCAGAGACACGGAGGCTGCAGGGGAGGGAGCTCTCACTGGTAAACTCATGAGAGATTTCTGCAGAGGGAGGGCCGAGGAGCCGCTGCCTCCGCGGTCCCGGGGCCCCACACCGAGGAAACCAGCTGGAAGGGAGAGAGCACGCTCAGCTGGACCGAAGACACACTCAGGGAGCAAACGCCATGACCGTCGGAGGCCAGGCCCTGCCCTCCAGGCAGCAGTCGCACACTGCGCGAGTTGTGTGTGCGGGTCGGCTAGAATAGGGACCCGTCTGTCACTCGGCCTCACAGAGTCCCCGGGAGGGGCACGCTCAGGAGAAGGGCAGCAGCCGGAGAGTGTCAGACCTCTTATCTGGACTCAGAAGCCAACACCAGAGGCCGCCTGAGTCCCTCTTGGTGGAGCGTGTGGTTCTGACATTTGAGGGACGGCTGTTCACGGCTTGGAGCAGGCACTTGCAAACTGTGCTCTAGTCTTCCCGCAGGTCCCATCGTCTCCCAACACGGGCTGGACTCCGGGTGTTTCGGGGAGTTGAAGTCTGAGGCACGGGCTATGGAATTAGCCACTAGACATGAACCCTCCTCCCCTCACTAACTCTGATCTGGGCGAATTACTTCCTACCTCGAAAGTTCTATTTTCTCTTCTGTAAAATGGGTCTATAATTGGGAGGCTCACACGAGCTACTCCTTGTAAGGTACCTGGAACGGTCTTAGCACCAGCTCCCTCCTCGCATCAGAGGGGTTCGAGGCCCTCAGGAAACTGTGATGTGAGAGTGGAGGAGATGTCTGCAGCGAGGGGTGGGGCTCATCTCCTGGTCTCGGGTGCAGGGTTTGCCCCGGAGCCCAGGGAGCTGTGCCTTGCATCCCCTCCGGGGTGCCCAGGATCAGTTGTTCCTCCTCCTGGATCAACTTTTTAAGCTCTGCCCTCTGTGGGGGCCAGCGGGAAGGAGGCCCCGCCGGAGAGGCCTCTGCAGACTGCTCCCACGTGCAAGGGGCTGCTTCGACGAAAATTGGGCTGGGGACATCTTTTCCTCATGTTTCAGATAAAGGTTAAGCTCAGAGACAGTGCAAAGGTTTACTCCTTAGAATTGTTCTTAAAACTTACACAGCTGGTAACTACTTGTTTATTCTGGGAAACTGGTCGAAGATGTTTGCTGATTCCAGACAAAATTATGCATTCCGTGACGTAAACGTACTGAATGAGTATTTCTTGCATCCCCCAAAGAGCAAGGTGCCTTCGGGCGCTCCGTCCCATCCAAGTTGGAGACCTGCTGACCGGGAGGGGGGCCGCTAGGGTTTGTCTCCCGCCTCAAGTTCCCCACTGTCAGGATGCAGGGCAGAGGAGCAAACTCGGAGCAGGGCTGAGTCCCGGCCGTGCGCGGACCACTGCCTGGTTTGGCCTGGGGTGAGGTCTCACCTCCGGGTGTGGGGATCTGCTCTACTCCTGCCCGCCCTCCCCCCTCCATTGGAAGAGATGAACAGCCTGAGGCTGTGAATGGATCTGTCGGAGTCTGTGTTCCCTGGAAGCTGACTCCGGGATGGAGATCAACAGCAGGGCACTTACCATGGAGTGCCCTGGGGACCCATAGAGTCCCGGGAGGGAAGGGCAGGACTGGGCAGAGGCGGGGGGGTTGAGCTGCAGTGTGGTCTGGGTGGGAAGTTCTACCCTACGGGCAGTTCTGAAGTCGGGGTGACTTTTTAGAGTGAAGGGACAGGTCCTTATGTCCCCATGTCTGCTGGTCATCGGATGGGGACTGCTCAGGGGTGGGTGTGACCTTGGGCTGGGAGTTCTCTTAGCCCAGGGCAGTTTCCCTAGGGGCAGGGTGCCCAGAGAGCCCCAGAGAAGTTCACCCCCCCCCCCATCCCTGGTCCCCGGGAGGTGCTGCAGGGCCACATGCTGGGCACTCTGGGGTGAGCAGGTCCTCCAGCAGCTACAATTGACCACGACTGTGGCTTGGTGTCCTCTTCATTGTAGAACCAAGTAAGATCTCATCCCTCCTTCCCTTCCTCTGCCAGCATGTGCCAACCCGCCCCCCTTGGGTGCCAGACTCTTTCTCCAGGGAAAAACAGGATCTCTGCACTCAAATATGAAAACGTAACTTCAGAATCGTCATTAACCCTTGTGAGGCCCTCTCCGTGGCACGTCTGACCATGGACCCCGTGCTCATTCCATCCTGGAGGCCTCCTTACTCCCCTCCTCTTTCCGTCTGAGCTGTGGGCCAGGAGGACCCTGGGAGATGGTGCCCCGTGCTCCTTTCTCCCCATCTCTAAGTCACAGTTGCTCTCTGGAGCTTGCCCCTCCCTCGTCACCTCCGACCACGTCTCCAGGAGTCCCGCATCCCATGAAGACGACGGCGTCCTGGGTCGTGCCCACCAGGCGCTGAGCAGGAGTTAACCGAGGATGGAGCCTGGATCTCTGTCAGCTCTTACACAGGAGTCGTTCAGCCCTTTAGGAAGTAGTCAGTCGCACTCTGCATGGGTTGCATACTTGCAAGTTTACCTGCTCTCTGCGGTTCATTTGTAACCTCCATCTCCCCACGGTGTTTTCGTGGTTACTCGTGGGCAGAATGGGGATTCATTCGAGTCGCCCGGCACCCACCTGCCCAGCCAACGTTGGACGAGGAGATGCCCTGCCTCCTGGTTTCAGTCCCCACACTGTGCACCGGTCCTCTCGGCGATCTGTGTGATGCCGTGGCTTTCACATTCATGTGCTTTTTGTCGGTGACTTTGCTGTTTGACGTGACACCCGGGCGCGGAGCTGAAGTGCTGTCTCGTGCTCCTCGGCGCCAGCAGGCTGTGCTGTGCCTCCCGGAGAAAACGCGCGTTAGAGAAGCTTCCTTCGGGCCTGCGTTGCCGCGCTGTTGGCCGTGAGTTCAGTGTTGATACAGTGAATCAACAATGTATATTAAATAAGCGGCCTTTAAACAGAAGCACACATACAGCAGGCTGTGCATTGATCAGTTGGAGGACACGCGGGGAGCGGCGGCTCACAGGAACCGCACCCTGTACTGCCCCTGGGAGCCATGGTCCAGTTGTTGCTAATTCAGTGTTTTCGGGATTGTGTAGAGCCTACCTACCGCCAACAGCCAGGGTTGACTGTGCTCGCTCTTTAAAACAGGGAGAGAGATGCTGAAGGGCCAGGAACTTGAGAGCGAAGGCATGTCAGGCCTGAGTAATTGGTCTTGTTTGTGTGGTGGTAGCAGAAATGGGGGGCAAGGGGAGCAGCAGGGGACCCTTCCTCTTCCTGTTGTCACCTGGCTGGGGTTTCA